GAAGACTTCAACTAGAAGACATGGACAAGCTCTACGGTGGTTGGGGGAGACAAAATACTACTTTCTCGCCAATGGACAAGTAAACCCACCAAGAGTCCCCGACCATTAGGAGATACTTTAGCAGGACACGTAATAAATGAGAACCTCCCAAATGAATGGAAGCATAGGAAACTTCAATCCTAACTCAAAGGTCAACTCAAAGAAGCAGGTCATCCCAGGACGAAGTATCTTACATCAGTCATTATGGTTTGGAAAATGTATCATAAAATTGTTTGGGAATTCGTACTCTTCCCTAATAGTAAAAACCCGCCTTGTATCAATTTGACTTCGAATAGAAGTCAAATTAGATAGATCATAGGAGACTTTCTTTTTCTTAGGAAATGTAGAGGACTCGCCCCTTAGATTTCCTCTCTTACCCCTAGCCTCTTTGCTAGAAGAATGAATCAAAAGAACCTCCTGCAATTGACCTGATGTGGCTTCCTAGGAGTCGAAGGCGAACAGAGAAACCCCTTCAGGTCAATTGGAAGAAATTCCTTGGCTTTAACAATGGCCAAGGGGAGCTCATCTCCCTGGACTTCCTTTGGTAAGAACCTCCTCATCTTCACTATCATCCCTAAGCATTAATGTAACGCCCCAAAAACCCCCTTGGGTGACATTACATTCTAAAAACCATTCACCCCATGAGAGCATTACATAAATTCATCACGACGAAAGTTCATTCATCAACCATTCATATTTTAACAAAATTTGGGCAGAGTCTCCTTTGTACGGGGAGCTTTACCCAAAACACAACCTGTACAATTATATTACAATTGACCACACCGGGTCCACATATGCATAACTATTGACCACACCGGGTCTATTTATCCATCATAAAATAAACTTTCATTCATCATATGTCATATCCACAATGCCATCCCAAAAGAATAGGCCAAGTATGACAAATATATTCCCAAAAGAATTAAATTACACTTGCAGTGAAATAACAAAATACTAGACTTTACATGATTTCAAAATAAACTCTCTAGTCTAGTACAAAAGAAATATAACTCTAGGCATCCAGTTCAGGACCCCCGTTCCCCTCTAGGGGAGCTTCCCCATGCACTGGTTCATCTACTTGTAACTCCTCCTCATAGACGAAATCTGAAAAGATATTATTTGTAGGGGATGAGCACTAAGCTCTGTAGCAACATTCCTTCCATACTCATACAAGGTTTAGAAAACAAGTAAAACAGTTCGGTCTTATTTTCCAAAATATCATATAACATTTGAAGTAAAACCGTGACATTTGAAACAGATCTCAAGTTTAAA